CATTGTACGAATATACCAATTTATAATGATCGTTACTGACGCTCACAATAACATCATATCGTGGAATCAGAGAACGTAACATCATTAGAAAATAAAGGTAAGTGACGAAAAACGTCTATCAGGGTAAGATAGTATCTCTATATTACATGATTATCTTTAGGCAGTAAGAGGACACCTCCTATATTCTGATCGGGATATATGTTCCGATGGGGATATAGCTATATCCCGATCAGGATATAGAAAAAACTTAATATCCCGATCGGGATATAAAACACAAAATTTCGTCGTAAAAACGATTAAGGGAAAAATGACGACGTTCTGGGGAAAAATTGACACCATCATTAGAAAGTGCTCGGAAAACTACATCGAATTCTGTTGTGTTTGATCAAAAGTGTGTAAAAAAACAAATTTTAGTCGAATTTATATACGATCTAGAAATAGGCTGTTAATCTTTTATTGCTCATAATGGGATATACTCTTGATCTAATCGCTTTCCACACCGACCGTCTTCCAGCTGGAGGAAACAAAAGACAATACTAAGAACGTTAGAGAGGGACAATAAAGAAGAAGAGGTAGCAAAATATTCAGCTCTCATATAATTCAAATTTATCATTTTCTTACAATACAAATTAAAAATTAAAATTTTCGATATCCTGATTGGGATATAGATTTTTTTGATATCTCAATCGGTATATCGAATTAAATCCTGATCGGAATATAATTTCAAACTATATCCCGTTCGGGATATAAAAAAAAGTTTACTGTAAAAAATGATATCCCGATCAGGGTATATATCCTGATTGGGCGTACATACCGATCGGGCGCTGACTAGTAAGCGTAGAAAATACACTTTTTTCTATTCAAATGTCACATTAGAGAAAATCGGTAAATAATATTTTGGCATTATTAGGCGGGAGGAAGTCATCGATCGATCATTGAAGGCGTAGAAAGGTAGAAAAGGCGTAAAAAAGTGATCACGTTGATTATGGATACCATCTAAAGTTTATTTATTAGAAAAGATTGAAAAGTTCTAACTGAGGCATCTATTACCCCGTTTTAGAGTTTACAGTTTAGTTGTGACGTAAGTATTTATCCGGGGGATCAATTTTTTTGATGACAAATCACCATTCTGTTTCCGAGTCCTTGACTCTGCGCCATGTACATAAGATGCAAAGTATATTTTGTATACTGCGTGTTATTTCACTTCTTCCAAAGAAGACTACAGCTACTACTGAACCTTTTTCGACTGGATTTTTAGGGCCATAAGGAGAGAGATAAGAGGAATAGGATATGTTGAAAAAACAATTTTTTAAATTTTATAGAATTATTAAATATGGCGTACAGGAATGAAACCAAAATGTGACACATTTGGTGATCAAAAGTATCTTTTTTTGGTGATCATTTGTTTCTGGAAATATTTGGTAATTAAAAGTACATTCACTCTATATACAGTGAGAAATAGCGTGTGATGGATATGATCTGATAGAACAAGAATATGTAACCGCAGTATTGATCAAGATCGGACTGGGAAGAGGACGCTTCTGCGCAAAACAAAATCCTCTTTTCTTCTCAATTAACAGAAATATTTACGTTTTTTTATTTCATGAGTTATTTACGACATGCCTCTAGTAACTATAAACAAAAAAAACAGCGTAATAATAGAATTAGAGAATATCTATACTTTATCATTTTTGTTAAGGTCGCATCTTACTTTGCTTGATCACACGTTCTCAAATAAATATTCTCCTTTCTGTGAGACGAAAACAGGCTTTATTGTTGTTTAGAAGAAGATAGTTCGAAAATAGAACAACTACAGATAACTTTAAATGAACTAAAACTACTTTTTAAATATCTGCTTTAACCAAAGTATACGAACTTTCACAACAGCAATATATTTACAAAAACTCCGACGTTTCTTATGTGAGATACTTAATTACGCTTGCATACTTTTATGGTATATAGGGTTTGTTTAGTACAACAGTGTGTGGAGAGAATGACCCATTGATCAATCAAGTGCTACTTACTGGATATATACACAGTTCATGCATTTATCTGTTAAAATAACACATTAGAGGTCAAGAATTTTAAACAGATAGAATGGTAAATAAAAAGAAGATAATGTTTATTTTAATTTTCTTTTTTGTTATTTATTTGGTGCACTACTTACGTTAAGCACTGCATTTGTCACAATTGGCAATCCTGTACACGTTTAAAAAAAGATCGTTCTTGGAAACGATAAACTTTTTCTTTCTCTTTGTATTTATGGGAGCTATTTATTTTTAGGGTGTTTCAGATGATTCAGCATATATCAATAAGATTCCCACACGGTTTTCTTTTTCTTATTCTATTGTAAGAAGAAACTTCTGTAATTTTACCCATTTCAATCTTTTCGTGACCACATATGAACTGAACATGATTTTAAACTTTACAATGAATACTCATAATGATTATACTCTTTTTTCAAGTACTTTAACCATCGTTTTACTCAGTAGACTTTCTAATCTACTCAACATAAAAAAATTACTAAACTGATTTAACAGTTAGACCAACACGCCTATTTTATGATATGTGTACAACAGGTAGTAACATTAAGCCGACCGAGTGAAATTCGGGATGCTCATTTTCTTACTATAGACAGGATGACCGCAACTATGAATGTGTTTGTTTCAGAACACTTTCAAATCACTGTATATCATTGTCAAGTTCTTTAGTCATAATTTCAACATCAATTCTCATTATTAATCATAAATTGTCTCATATACATTGGTCTAGTGATCATTCAAACTTTTATCACCTTAAATTAAAATAATTTCTTTTAAATTAATCAAACGATGAACACACAATAGTTTAAAAATTATTTGTTTTCCTTAAATTTATCACATACATCACAATAAATTGGTCTAATTGGTCTTATTCATATCTACAACTGATCCAATGCGTGAGTCACATAATCAAATGGTAATCAAATCAAAATTTGGTTACTTGATGACAATACAGAGAGAATTAACATGTTCCAAGTTTTATAATAGGATTGCCGTAAAAGAATTTTGTATAATAAATTTACATTGTCTATTTCAAATCATAGAAGATAGCTTGTTCAATCGTATAACTCTACTTTTCACCTGTTTAAAATTGCAAAATCACAGTAGACTAAAAACTCATTTCACATTTCACTTCCCTTATCCAATATTTAAATAGTTTCCCAAGCTCCGAATATTCCAATATCGCTAATTTGAACTGTTAATATCTATTCATATTGTTCACTTTTGGCGGTCAGGTGTAGAGACTAAAGGTTGCTTTACGCCAAATGCACGACTTCATTACGAAGCAAACTTTATTGTAGTAATTAATAGGAATTTTTATCACTCGTCGGAGTGTACAACTGCATATGTGCTTAACTTCGATGTCGTTAGTATACATACATACTCCTTACGACTTTGTTCTCTGATTTTTTCTTGTATATATGTGTTTGAAAATATGAGTTAAACATAAGTCTAAGAATCAAGCGATTATGGGTCTTTCTTTGGTAAATATTCAATAAATTTTTCTAGGTAAAAAGTGTGATTAAACCTCCTGCATCTGAAAGGCAGTCTACAATTAAAGTGTCGAGTGTTGTTTAATCTAAAATTATTTTCGGAAGATTTTTGTTTCGTCTACGTAATACTTCAAAAGTCGAATTAGCCAAATTCATCACTTTTTTTTTGTTTCATTGTTGTCGTTCTTTAGTAGTGTAACGACATTCAGTTTTATTTGTTCGAAAAAAGCAAGCACATTTTTCGTTCTGTTTTTATTTTTATTTCGTTTTTTCATTTTTGTTTGATAATGTAAAGTATAGAACAAGCATATTATATGTAGGTGCCACTAAATAAGTATAATAATTAATCGATATAGGCACATTTTGATAGCAATATTTTTATTACCTGCAAGTGAGAGAGGTAAACAAAATTTAAAATTTTACCTGAAAAACATAGAGTTTGTTTTTTGACGAATATAAGAAATATTTCTTTAATGATATATTCAAATTTGTGAATACTAATATCCTATCAAATTTTATGTATGCGTATAGTTGCATTTTGGAGTATTTTTATTTTAGATGTCTAGTGGTCGTAAAAGTAAAAAACTGGTCATTGTTGGTGATGGCATGTGTGGAAAAACATGCCTTCTTTTTGCTTTTAAAGATGATAAATTTATTCCAACACATGGTATAAATAAATTTATCTATTATATTGTATTTTAAAAATATTCTCTATATACTTTAGATGCAACAATCTTTGACACTTATGTGGCAGATATCGAAGTTGACGGAAAAACGGTATGTTATAATGTAGTATACCAAAGATGATAATACTTTTCTAAGATTTAGACTTGTTAATATTATAATATTGCAAATATAAAAATGTTTTTCTTCAATGTTTTGTTCACTGTTTCATTTTTTTACAGGTGGACTTGGCGTTATTCGATACAGGTATGCGTCTCATTTGCTTCATTAATAGTAACATTTTATGTGCATCATTTTAGCTGGTCAAGAAGATTATGATCGTCTACGTCCATTATCATATCCTGATACCAACGTAGTTCTGATCTGTTTTAGTGTGGATAGTCCTGTATCAGCTACAAGTGTTATTGAAAAATGGATGCCTGAAATACGTCATTTTTGTGGTCTCTGTCCGGTTATCTTGGTAGCATGTAAAAAAGATCTTAGAACAGATCCATTCACAATTCAAAAACTCAAACAAGAAGATGAAAAACCTGTATCGCAAGAAGTCGGAAGACAGATTGCAAATCAAATCAAAGTAAATGATTATATAGAATGTTCAGCCAAAACTCGTGAAGGTGTGCATGAACTTTTTGTACATGCAGCAAGACTTGCATTAAAAAAACCAAACAAACGTCCACATTGTATATTTTTATAATATGTTTATAAACATTCTGTATTCCTCTTTAGATTTCATTATCTTATGTCGAAGGTTTTATTGTTTTACAAACTTTTATTTTTTTAATAAGTAAATGATGTATATGTATACTTTAACCTAACTTCAATCGATAGTTAAAAGATGACTTTATCGAACTGATCTGGGACACCTTTGCTTTACATAAAACTTTTGGGTAAATCTTATTAAATAATAATTGAAGATTTAAAGACTTTTCTTATTACTATTCAAGAACATCAGTCATATATAATAGCCTAGTGAATTTTTCATGTTATTACTAAAAACCATGTATCCATTAAAAAAATATATGTCCATTTTTTTAGATATTAACATTGTGAACTTCCAAAACAAGTTAGCTACAAATCCATTGAAAGAGAAATTAGAAAATGAGAGCGATCTCAATTTATTGGTGGTACTTATACTTAAAGTATACCAAAAAGTTTTAAGCACTGCATATTGATGACATCTGGCAAACAAGTTCATTCGCCTTCAATTCAACTAATACGAACGAACGAAATGAAATTGCAAAACTTCCATGCAATTTGCAACAACAAACATAAAAACAATATAATAATAACTAAAACATATAAAACCAACTTCTGTTTTCATTTTGAGGACTATTTTCTTCAATTCTTTTTGTTTCTATGATACTTTTCCGAGTTCAAAGCATATGAAGTCGAGTTTTTTCTTATCATTTAAAGCGGCTTTCTCGAGAGTTTCTTAAATGTAAGTTCATGAGTTCGATTCTATCATTCGTGTAAATCTGATTTTTGTTACTTTCAATCTGTTCTTTTCCTTTCTGTGTGTACTTCTTTCTAGTTCGCTTAATCTGGACTTGAACAGCTCCTCTACAGTGCACCATAAAGAACAGATAAGGATTTCTTTAACTATAATCAACATTTTTTTTGTTCTAATCGCGAATGTGTTTAGCGCGTTTTCTTCTTAAAACATGTTAATCTCTGTTCACGAAAGTTGTCGTTAAACTAAAGTACCAAGTAAACTCTCTAGGTATAGAGGTTAAATAGAATATACTAATAGGGATTGCAGTTTTCTAACGAACAGGATAATATTTCTCGTTTGCGTTATAGTCAGTTATTTTGTAAGAATGCATCTTTCACAAACCAAATTATGCCTTGTAGATTTCAGAGTATCCCTACTTCGTCATATCATATGGCACCAAAAAAACAAACAAAAGCTCTTGCTACAAAAGCATCAGCGACCACACGTGGTACAAAGGCGGCTATTTCAAAAGCCAAAAAGCCTGCGTCAACCCGTGCAGCAGGTAAAAAACGTGCAGCACCACCGGCAACCAAAGCAAAATCGACAAAGAAACGCAAACTCGAAGAAGAACCCGAAGAAGAAAATGAAGAAGATGAAGTAAGTAATACGAAAGATTCTTTTGTTAGATTTTTTATTAGGAAACGTGTTACGTTTTCTCAGGAAGAAGAAGCAGTAAATGATGAAGAAATATCGGGGAAATCAGAGATAATTAAAAAGCTTCGTGCAGCTGATCAAGATAAGAAGAAAAAGTATACACCAGATAAACATATTATCGGTGGTGCGTCAAACTATCAGGTTGGTCTTTTCTAGTATTAAAAATGTACAAGCTTAGTGTTTTTTTTATTACCATTAAGGTCTATGAAGATTACGATGCTATGTTAAATCAGACAAATATTGGTCATAATAACAACAAATTTTATGTTATTCAAGTTTTAAAACAGGGTCCATCATATTATGTTTGGAACAGATGGGGGCGCGTTGTAAGTGTCCTTATTTAATGACTTAACATTTGTTGTATCACATCCTCGTTTGTGTTCAGGGTGAAGTTGGTAGTAATAATGGTCTTAGTGGTCCATATAATAGTCCTGAACCGGCAATAAAAGAATTCGAACATAAATTTAAAGATAAAACAAAAAATAATTGGAAACAACGTGCTGATTTTCAAGCGGTTGCAAAAAAATATACGTTAATCGAAACAGCTGGTGAAGAAGGTGAAGAGGAAGAAGAGAAGAGTGTGGTTTCAACGAAAACGGTATGACGTTGTACAACAGGACCTTTTTATTAAATGAGTATTATTTATTTATTTCTTTGATTTTGCAGGTAACAGCTACAGATGGCACAGTTTATGCACCATCAAAATTAGATACGGCAACACAAGCATTGATGAAACTTATATTTGATACTGACATGTTTAAAGATGCCCTGAAAAAGTTTGATATAGGTGATTATAAAACACTACTTGTTTTAAATTGTTAAAATCTCACAAGGGAACCTTCACGCATGGTTTTCTCAGTAAAGCTAATTTTTCTAGGATAATTCTTGATGCTTATTATGAATCTAGTATTCCTTTGTGCCTTATTGCGTTTTTGAATGTATCTTTTGAAAGCTTACCTCTCGTTATAAATATGAACACCAAGAGATTCTGATCTAACCAGTTTGTAAAGGTCCTCGAACCGCCTCTTCTGAAGAATTTTTACAACTACCAAAAAGTTTCAATTTAATTATAAATATTTTAATCTAGATTCTAAAAATTCTTCTGGAGAGGTGGCTCGAGGACCTGTACAAACTGGTTAGATCAGGATCTCTTGATGCTTAGATTTATAACTTCAGACTAGCCTGTATCTGTTTCTCTGAGCACACAATGTTATTAAATTCTATTTTAAACTAATCTCATGTTTTTTCTTCTATTTTAGATGTTAAAAAAATGCCACTTGGCAAATTATCAAAAACACAAATTGCGAAAGGTAATTGATTTTCTTCTCAACTCTATTATCTTTCTCATCAAAGTCTTCTGATGACTTTATTATTCTGTTTAGGTTTTGAAATATTAGAAGAGCTTGAAAAAGTCATAGAAAGTAAAACAAAAGGCAATCTGGATGATATTTCATCAAAATTTTATACAGGTACAAAATTTAATCATGAAAATTATTTTGTATTGATACATATATATTTGTATTCACAAATACTTTTGTTTTAGCTATTCCGCATGATTTTGGGCGTACGAGACCAAAACCTATTAATACTCGAGAAGCATTACAACAAAAATATGATATGTTAGCGGTGAGTAGATACTAAAATTTAACCGATACCTCTTCAAATGTGTATACCTTCTATCAGGTTTTGGCCGATATTGAATTAGCTCAAACATTGCAAACGGAAAAATCTGAGACTGATACGACTGTAAGTAGTACAAATTAATTACTCAATTGTTAAGGGATTTGTACATTTTGGATCTTTAGGATGCAAAACCTCATCCGTATGATGTTAACTATGGTGCATTAAGATGTTCATTGGAACTGGTTGATAAGAAGTCGAACGAATTCAAAGTAAGTTTAATATTGTTTTGAATAGTCTGATAATTATGTACGGTTTTTATTGCAAATATAGATAATTGACGAATATACGAACAATACACAAGGATATCGAAAATGCAAAATTGAGAATGTCTGGCGTGTCGGACGAGAATTTGAAGGTGCAAATTTTGCTACTCATGAGGCAATTACTAATCGAAAATTATTGTGGCATGGAACTAATGTTGCTGTTGTTGTGGCAATTTTAAAAAGTGGATTAAGAATAATGCCACATTCTGGTGGAAGAGTTGGTTAGTATTTTTATATTTTAAAAACGTCTTTTTTGTTTTAACTGTATCTATGTACGTTTTTTCAGGCAAAGGTATCTATTTTGCATCTGAGAATGGCAAATCAGCTGGCTATGGTATGTAAACAAAGTGTGTTAAAATTATCTTCTTTCATATATATTTTTTTCTCTTCTATCTAGTTGGTACAACAACCGATGGAGGAACACAAACTGGTATCATGTTCTTGGTATGTGGAATAGTTGTTTGCTTTATTTTTATTCTAACAAAACATTCTGCGAGATTTTTCTTATTGAACATTTATATTTTAGAACGAAGTTGCTTTGGGCAAAGAACATCATATTACTAGCGATAATCCGAGTCTCAAAAAACCACCACCAGGTTACGATTGTGTTATTGCTAAAGGTCAAACTGAACCTGGTAAGTAATTTAATAGAACGAATAGTGTAGAGATATTTAGATTATCATCATCCGTATACATCTATGTACATATAATAAATATTTTTTTTATATTGTATTGTTTCTGATGTGTTTTAGATCCAACAAAGGATACACCGTTGACAATCGAAAAAAAACCGGTTATTGTTCCATGTGGAAAACCAGTTCAGACTACACATACATCATCGAGTTTCAGTCAAAGTGAATATTTAATTTATAGAGAAGATCAATGTCGTATTCGATATCTATTAAAATTAAAATTTTAATTATTAAATACATCAAGAAATAAAAACATAAATTAAACTTTTTTATCTTTTAACTATTGTAAATTTTATTGTTTTTTTGTGTTTTATACAAAAATCTATGTTGTTGCTTTTTGTAATTATTATTATCAGATTAGGTTTGTTTAATTTCAAAAACAAATGAAATAAACAAAAGAAAGTTCTATCGTAACATGACTTTATATTTTTGATATGTTTGTCAGCTTTTTATGTTTTTTTTTCTCTCTCATGTACACAAATTTTTGATGTAGGTAATTTTTCCTTATATTTATATTTTATTATTTTGGTTTCTCGGTGATAATATAAGGAAGTAACAGTTTCTCGTATTTTTTCTCGCAAAACTATCAACCGGTTTTCTTTACAACTATAGTCACCGTCCAAAGTTTGAAAAAATAGAATGGTAATTTATTTTTTTGCATTGTTTCTATATTGTTTGCTTATAGAGAAATTATTAAGTATTTTTTAGCACTTTTATTTAACTATTCTCAGTGATTATTTTTAAAACTTATTTTATGTACGTTTTGTATGGTGTATAAAGTATATCTGTGATTCTTTTTCACTCATTTAGGTAGATGTTGTTTGAATAATTGTGAGAAAAAAAAAAACAAGTGTTCTATTTTTTCTGCTATTTAGAGAACAGTACTGATTGAGGAGTATTGAGAAGACGAAGAAAAAATGAAGAGTCAAGTTCGTAACAACAAATTGTTTCGTTTTAATTATATTTATCATTTATTTTCATTGATAATCATCTTTCAAATAATAAAAACAAAACGATGAAGTCTTCTTTATTCTTGTTACACAACATTGTGTTTTTTTTTTCCTTTTTTTTTTGTTCAAATAAACAGCTTATTCTTCTTGCACTCAAAATAATGGAAAAAATTATCTTGAATAAATATTACTATCCATATTGGAAGAAGAAAAATAATTATTGATAAACGAGTCATATTCTGACTTAAATTATATTTATGTTGAATATTATCATACCACCTTTAAAATATAAGATAAAAATGAAATATTTTCTCACTTATTGGTGTCGATTTTATCCATTACATAGAATTTTAATAGGTTTATTGTCGTCATTCAAGAGATATTTGATACAAATGTTTGTTGACATATATTAATTTTACATTTATTTTATTCATTCAGTTATTAATAGAATTTTAGTCTATCATAATGATGATGAATTGTTTAAAGAAAAAAAATATGCATAATCTAAAAATAAATCGAATAACTCTAAAAATATGTTTTCTTTCATTATTAATTAACTAATATTAATGAGACAATAAATCAATTATGTACAAAAAATAGTTTAGATATATATAACAATAAGTAATAAGAATATGTCACTATATGACGATGATAGAGCTATAATCTACGTATAAAATATGTACAAATACAATCGAACTAACAGTATAGATCTGTCCAAATAGATAATAATATTCTTTTTCTATTTGTTCAAATAGAGAATTATGTCAATCTAGTGAATATTAAACAATAAAGGGTGGCCCAGAAGTCCTGATCTGATTTGAATAATAAATTTTTCTATAGTGGAACAAGTGATAGTAAATTTGTCTCTATATCTATAAAGAAAAGATGCAGTAAAAAAACGCTCTACAAGATGACTATTGATTGACCCCGTTAGCTCATCTGGTAAGAATGTTATAAGCTTAGAAATGTGCTTCACAAAAAAGAAAAATCAACTGTGAATCCGGTCTCGGTATTTTTGCTTTAACTCCTGTTCCTTAGGCTCCCAGAATAAGTTCTTTTTTTAATAGAAGCGTCGTGAAAGTCTCTACAAAATCCGTACCTAAACTTTAATTTCAAAACTTCAATCAAGAAAACTAAGCAAATTATACACGGGGCGAAAAAAATAAAAACTTTGTAAATTTGGTTTGTTTTACTTAACCTTCTTCTTCTCCTATTATTTCCGTAAAAAAAGCGACAACACAATTTGTGTTGGGTACTTTCAAATGTGCTCTTTCTTGTGGTTTGTAGAAAGACTTTTTAGAGCAGATGGTGTGCTCGAGAATTAAGTTTCAAAAATATGTCAAAAATCGATAACCTCGTTTCCAACAGTGTACC